TCTCTCTCTCTCTCTCTCTCTCCTCTCTTCCCCCCTTCCCTCTCTCTTTCTCTGTCTTCTTTCTCTCTGGCTTCTTCACCGTTATTTAGATCCTTACTGTAGGTCGAGAACTGTGCTTAGCTACTGGACAGATACAAAATTTAGATAAGACATGGTATCTTCCCTCATGAAGCTTACAGTCTCATAAGGAGCTAAGACACAATGATAACTACAGTATTTCCCCACCTGGCTGCGCCCCTCTGGATTCCTCTCTCCATCACCCCCTCCCTGCTGTACCTTCCCTCTCCCCTCCCCACCCCACTTTTCAGCTTTCTTTTGTGTGTTGTTTTCCTCCCAATGAAATGTAAGCTCCTTGAGGGCAGGGACTGACTTTTTTGACTCTTTATATGCCCAGTGCTTAGCACAGTGCCTGGTATATAGTAGATGCTTAATAAATGCTTATTGACTGAGTATAATATAACATGTTGAATGAGAAGTGCGTGAAACCCGGGGATTCTAGGGAAAATGGCTTGGCTTCCCACTTACCACCTCCAACCAAAGAGAAACCTAGTGATGCCACAAAAATGGGAACAGGAGAAATGAAGGAGGTAATTAAAGAAACAGAAAGAGCTGAAAATGATGAAACTACGTACTGTTCCTCGCATCCCTCCTTCCCTCACTCCTGCTCTCAGCCTTCCCCACACAAAGCCTCTTTGACCCGAGGAATCCTGACCCTCGTGGAGGGTGCAGGTTTAAGTATCCCCTTTCAGAGTCAGCGTCGTGGAGGACCCCACTCCTGGGGAGGCACTGGGATCTCTGAATTGGATTAGCCTCTGAAGTTCCGGAGGGGAGAGCGGTGTGTCTCCTGGGGTGAGCTCACACATAGAAGAGTTCCAACCTTGCCGCTGTCCCTTCCGCTTCAGTGACTTGGGACCCTGATAACTTGACCAGCTCCAGAAGGCAGCCTAGGAATGGGAGAAAGTCAGTGGCTGTAGGGGAGAGAGAGGTCCAGAAATGCAATGCTGGAGATACAGGTGGGAAAACCAGCACATAACTGGAGGAAAGAGCCATTACAACAAATGCTTTCTTCAAAGTAAAAGAAAATGAGTAAAAAAAAAAAAATACAAGGAGAGTAAAGGGCCTATAGTAATGTAACCCTAATTTAAATAAAGACCTGGACATTATTACTGCAACTTTCAGAGAGAAGGCCTTGACGGGGTGATGTCTGCACTTGCCTTGAATTGGGTTCAAGTGAGGCAGAACTGCACAAAATCATCGCCCTCACTCTCTCTTCCAGAGTCATTGAAGTCCACAGCAGGATAAAAGTCAGGACGACTGGCGATGGTCTGGGATGCAGTGGATGACGTTGGTGTCTTCGATGTCTGACCAAGCTCTAAGCTCTCCACAGCTCCCGCTTCAGCCGGCTTCCTGGCCCTTGGAACAAATCTTCTTATCTGCCCATTCCACCTGGAGAAGTCTTCACATGCTTGAGGTAGACATCCCCCTAACTCACCAAGGGATTTGGGACCTGTTGCTTACCCTCAACCTGTTTTAGTGGGTCTGACCAGTGAGTTTTCCTGGGGCGCAGCAGCTGTGCATGCCACAGCTTCTGGGTCCTTCACAGCTGGGTGAAGGTGGACATCAATGGTGTCTTGGAAAGAACCTCATCCACACGAATTGTCTAAATGTATAGACACAGCTCATGGATGGCACGTTGAGATAGCTATGGAATCTGGCCTACTCCTCTCCCAGGGAGACTGCTATTTCTGCCTTGAGGAAGAGGAGGGGCCATTGATGGGTGCTTGCTACTCCTCTTGATTATTTCCAAAAGGATAGTGTGCTAGAATTTATACATAAATATATTCATATGATATAGCACATATGATATTATATACATGTAAGGTATATCATATAAATATAAATAAACATTTATTATATATTATATATCAATGTATCATGTATCATATATCTGTATATCATACATACGTCTGTATATATGTATATCATACATGTATGTACACATAATACATTTATCAACATAATATAAATACACATATATTCATATAATATATAACTATATATGATATATAAATATATTTTAATATATTACATAGCACATTTTTATAATATACAAATATATTTATATATAATATATAAATGTAGGTTTATATATTATATCCACACATATTTATATGTGATATATATTATATATTTGTCCCCCTCAGATATCTCTGGTCTAGGAGTATGATCTTTATGGATTCAGAAGGAGAGCCATTTCCCTGATGGCTCTTGAAGGGGTAGGGGAAGTATCTTTTACCATCAAAGGCTGGTTACATTAAAAGACCATCACAAGTAGTGAACAGTGAGTAAATCCATTTATCCAAGAAAAATGAGCAAACAGAGACCGGAGCACTTATATAGATTAGAATTTACCAGAAAAGCAAATGATTCCTTTAGTTAGGAGTACGATGAAATCTCTGTTCACACCAAGAGAGAAGCTTTGATCTCACTCAAGCCAAAGTCCCTGAAGTCTCTAGGAAGACAAAGTGGAAATCATTGCTGTGTTGAGGAGACAGAGGTTTCTATGTAGGTATGGCTCCCAAAGTCTTTCTTTTGCTCCATGTGTCTCTCCTAAAGAATCTCTGGAACTACACATAGCCCTCTCCCGAGAAGTGTGGTACCAACTTCATCTTTTATGAAGGTGAGCAGTATGGCCTCAGCATTCTCTCTATCAATTTCACATCACACCTCTTATTAATACCAGTAACATACAAAACATTCCAGCCTTGGTTGGGAGCCCAGTGAGATCTAGGTAACAGAGAATCACAGTTTCATGTGGTATACAGTATACTTAGAAATGCTCATTTTACTTAGTGTTTGCTAAGTTCCGAATAAAAATAAAACAAAACAAATACATAACAAAACATACTGGTAAATACGAATCAGAAATAAGGAATGACAGAGGCCAAAGACCCGTGGTTTTCAGATAGTCCATGCCAATAAATGATGAATACTTTCTTCAGAAGAAAGAAGAGAGGTAACCGTGGTATGCTGGATAGAGTGCTGGACTCTATAGGGTCCATATGTCCATAGTCCAGTATGCTGGACTCTGGATAGAGTGTTAGGAAGTCTTGGGTTCAAATTCTGTCACTCCCACTTTACTAGCTGTGTGACCACAGGCGGTTTCCTATTTCTAAAATGAAAGAGTTGAACCAGATGACCTCTGATGTCCATTTTAGCTCTGAATTTATGATCCTATCATTCTAGGATTCAGGAAAAGAATCAACGCACGCTGGACACGGGAAGCATGGAATAATACGATAAAAATTGAAATTGATTATATTTTCACAGACAGAGAACGACTCATTATTAATGTGGGAGTCATTCCTGAGTTAGTGGTCAATATACAGTCAATGGAAGCAATTCGATTTTAGACTATGACACCATAAAATAATAATTAAAAAGGGAATATGAATACTAAGTACCAACTTAGGTGGAGATTAAATAAAGGCATCCTGAATAATGAGTAGGTCAAATAACAAATTATAAAAACAGTAAATAATGTTAAACAGTGTGACAAGAAGTATACATTCAAACTAAAGGGATATAGCTAAAGCAGTCCTCAAAGAAAAAGATTATATCTCTGAAAACATTTTTAATACAAAATAGAAAAAAGAAAGGATCGGTGAACTGAGCATACAATTAGAAAAGAGTGGGAAATAAACAGACTAATGGTTTCCAAATCAATATGAAGGAAACTATCTTGAAGATTTGACAAGATAAACTTGAAAATAAAATGCATCTAGAAAAGTTAGGAAAACTAAGAACTGGTTCCTGAAAAAGAAACATCGTAACAAAATTGATAAGCTATAGGCTGAGAGAAAGGAGGGGAAGAGAGAGAGAGAGACAGAGACAGAAGAAACGTTTAAAATGGACAGGTGAATTCACAACAGAGAGGAAATAAATGACTTAATGAGGAACTACTGTATACAATTACATGCCGGGAAGACTGAAAATTCAAGAGAAGTATATGAGTTCTACAAAAATATAAAATACTGAAATTACCAAAATAGGAAATAGAGATCTTACATGATACAATCTTAGAAAAAGAAA